ACACCAAGAACACTTGGATGGGAGAGATGCTGAAACCTTTCCTGTGGCTCTGGGAGTGCCACCTTCTCTGCAGAGTGGCCTTTGCATTGGAGAATCATCTCCAAGCCAGGCCTTCCCCAACTCCCAACACCCACTGGAATAAAGACTACAGTTTGTATAACTTAATGTTTGGGCTGTCTGGCCCCTGGGTAGGCATGACAGCAATTGTTACCAACATTGCTGTTCTCCCTTTTGTTAGAAGTGACCCCTCACTGCTGGGTGCCTGCAGGTATTACACCTAGGGCTGAACTTAAACACCTTTGAGCACACAACAGAAAGCACTGACAGCCCAGGCAGGACCTCACCACCCAGGCAGCGTGTGCCAGCCTGGCTGAGTAAGAGCTGGTATGTCACAGGGGTCTATTTTAATGCTGTTTTCTAGCCTAAGGTCCATGAAAACTCCGTATCAAAGTAGTTGCTACACTTGACTTCTATTTCCTTGGCAGAGCTGGCTGGCACAGGGACCCATTTTCCCAGCACAGGTCCATGGCTTCCCTCTTGGTAGTTCATTGCCTTTGAAGTTACAACTGGGATGATTAAATGCAATGCTCAGAAAACAGTCATAAATCTCTGTGAAAAGGATTATGTGCCAGTTTTTATGTATAAGCACTTCTTCAGCTTTCTGCAGCACTGAATTCTCATTTACCTGATTGAAACAGCAAAGCAATACAGAAAGCCAGCTTACAGAGAGAACAGTTCAACCACAGGACAATGTTATCTCAAGGCAGTCCTAGCAGAAATGCATTAACTATTTAAGGAAGCACCACAAATAACCTGCTTCACGCCCAGGGTGATCTGCCACCAGAGATCACAAGGCAAATGCCAGCAGAAATTAATATAACTCGACTCCCAAAGACATAGCCTTTTTTAAAAACCAGACTTTTAATTAGAAATTACAGGTGAAATTCAATCTGTTTCTCACAAGTTGAGACATGCTGCACAATGGATTTTTCCCTTGTCTTGCCACAGTATTGGTAATAAAATCTGTTTATCCAGAGGCCTCCTACTTCTTTCCCCTCAAGAAGGGCAGAAGAAAAAAACATTGTGCAAAACATCTGAAGCATGTCAGCCCTGCACTCAGCACCCCCCTGACTCTGGAGCTGCACTTTTGGTACACTGTTTGCATAAAGCTGGGTAGCCCTCTAAACCTTTCTAGCTACATTCTCCCTCCAATTCTATCTGATATAAGCAAGACTGTTTGAACAGAGGTTTGGGATTGGTTTTTCTATCTCAAATATTGCTTACCCATTGCAGATTTTGAGATCAAAGTGTGTGTTCTTTAAGGTAAGGCCACTGGAGACAGTGCATCCTGCAGTGCACAACAGCCTGGATGGACAGGCTTCCATGGCAGGGCTTAGGAATAGAAGGATTCCCAACACCTTCATTTCTGCCTCCACTGGGAAAGGCAATGACAGACACATCCCATCTTCTCAGACCACCTTTGCCAAGCAACACATTGAAGGCCATGGAAATGTGGCTCTCATTTGTGCCCCTAAACTTTGAGGTATTTGGGAATATCGCTGGTAATTTTAAAAATAGTAATTTAGTGAGTATGCTGAACAGATGACTGTTTCTAAAGACTGAAAAACTGTCATTATTTCAGCATATTATGCCCTTCAATTGTTAAATGAATCCTTATCTGTCTACTTTAATTTATACATTTGTGTTGCCCAAGATTGGAGACAAGTTACATAGAAGACATAGGAATTTTCTAGGGCCAAACTGAGCCACATCAAAGGTCCATCCAGCAGTGACCAGAAGTCCATGCCAAGTAAAGCATAAAAGATGATAATTCTTCCTCAGTTCCTAACTGGAGTTTCTGAGTTGGATGTGGCCTCTGCATATTTAGTAGCATGGATTTCTTATTTCAGCTTGGCAAATCTCTCTTTGACCCTGCACAAACGTTCAGCACACTCCTGGTGTCCTGCAGGAAGGAGCTCCCAGCTCAGCTGCCTGTTGTGTGTCACTTCCCTGGCTTGCTTGGAACCTGTCTCCTCTTAGATTCCTTGGATACACCCTGAGCTCTACATGCACAGACCACTCACACCCCCAGTCCTCCACTCTAGGCTGTATCAGCTCCAAGGGATCACAGATTCTGACCTCACAAGTCACTGCTTTTTCAACCCCCTAGCTGACTCCTACCCCTAACGGTGGCCCCAATAAACCCTGCCAAAGTTACAGTGCTCCATTGGGTTCATCCTGTGTCAGCCCATACCCCAGCTCCAGATCTAACTCCATGAACTTCACAAAGGCTGCCACACATTTCCAAACTACTGTTTTTCTTTTTTATTCCACTGTTATCAGCCTTCCTTCCAGTCCCACAGAGCTGGCCAAGTCTTAGAATAATTTTCAGCTCTGTTGAAAAGCATAACATTTACCCTGGCGAGACATGCACAAAAACCACATTTCTAGCTCAAATAAAGACAACTCTTTGAAAACAAAAAACTCCCATTTGTGACCTAAATAATCTTCAGAGTTACAAAACAACTTGCCCACTGCCTGACTCTAACCCTTGCTTTGGCTACAGTAACGATGTTACTAACCACTTCAAGAGCACTACCCAAAACTGATCTTCCTTTTAGTTTCTGGTCTCAACACCAAACTTAGCTCTTCCACTGCCTTCTTCCCAATTCAACCCAACTTGCAGCTAACATCTTGGCTTCAGTGCTATATGTTAATTACTGCCTTCAAAACCTTGTTAAAAGCTTCCCACAGCAGCTCTTCACATGGTGCTGCTACTGTAGCCGTCCACAGGTGAGGAACACACCCTGCTTAGGAGTGTTCCTCACCTGTGGAACTTGTTAGGAGCTTAGGAGCTTCTCTGAAGCTGGACCATAAACACAAACATTTCTGCAGTATAGTAGCAGGGTGTCTCCCAAGCAGGGAATACCTGCAATGATCCAGTGATTTCAGAAGGCTGAACAATTCCTTTATTAAGCTATACTATATTATACTACATACTAATACTACACTATATTCTACACTAAAGAAAAACCTGTGACCCCTTTCAGACAGTCACAACACAGCTTTGACCTCACTGGTCAATCAATACAAACAACCATCACCAGAGTCCAATTAACAAATCACTTTTGGTAAATAATCTCCATAACACATTCCACATGTGCCAAACAACAGGAACAGCAAACAGAGGTAAGAATTGTTTTCTCTTCTTTCTCTGAGCTTTCTCACTGCCTTCCCCAGGAAAAATCCTGAGGAAGTTGTGCCTGCTGCTCTCTGTGAAGAGAGCTGTGACCACACCTGCAGCCCTCCCCTGGATTCATTCCAACAGCTCCACGCATTTCCTGTGCTGAGGACCCTGGAGCTGGATGCAGTGTGCCAGGAGGGATCTGACAAGAGCAGAACCATTTTCCTAGACCTTCCTGGAACCACACCTATGCCCCTGGAACCCTGCTAGCTCCACTTGTTATCCCAATCCTGTACTTGGGATGAGTGGCACAATGCCAGCTGGGCAGCAAGAGCTCCAGCTTTGACCGTGGCAGATAAAATCTGAGATGAGAGTCACAGTTTGAGTGAGACAGAGGAGGAAGGACAAGGTTTGCTGCCAATCCAAGGGTCAGAGGGTGCACCATGGGCTGTCAGTTCAGAGATGGTCACTGGGTCCCAGTGTACCTGCAGGACTGACACTGAGACCTGCTGAAGGGACGGGTTTCCTGAATGGAGGATAAAGCCTTCTGGGTAAATTGGCTAAAATGAGGATTAAGATCAAGCTCAGCAGAAATGGAAGAGCTGGGATAATTAAAGGGTTTTAGAATCCCTCCAGAACAGTAATACTGCTTTTTACTGGAATGGATTTCCTTAATTAGGTTTGGAGTGGGTAGGTGTTGCTGGACTGCAGGTGAAGCCGGGGCTGCTGCTGGGGCCAAGGGAGGACCTCAGCCAGCAGCACTCTGACTTGTCTTTCCTAAGGCTGTTAATAAAATCCACAGTGCCAGTGGTAAAAATAGTCACTGTTTCATACCCTGAGAATGACTTGGCTTTTGGGTTTAGAAACCCCTCCCCTGTCATTACAAAGAGGCAAAGAGACAAACACGCAGAGGAACATGTGCAGCACAGAAGAGGTAACTGAAATTAGGCCAGGCTCGTTTGTGACCTGCTGACCCCCATCTCAGCATAAACATATCAAAAAGGGACAGCAACAAATCCTTCATGCTGTGCTGCACTAAGTCTGGTATTAATAACTCCACGAGAAACAAACACGTCAGAGCTTTCCAAACAAGACAATGTGCTTCCTGGAAGAACTTTTAGCCCTGATGGTAACGGGAGCTGTTGCCACGTTATCATAAAGGTTCCCCAAATGAGATCCAACCCAATTCTGCAGCAGATGTTGAATAAGGATTGCTTGGTGTTAACCTGTGTCTAAGCTGCAATTTCACTGTTGGAATGAGGAGCCAGCAAGCCAGAACTGACACATAGGAAGACTGCTCCCATTTTCATTTGAGACATCGGGAAATTCCTCCAGAAGGCTCCAAAGTGTCCTTCAGTAGCTAAACAGAGCAAACACTCATGGCCCATCCACATTCACTGCTCAGTCACTGATACTACACCAAGAAGCATGGTCACCCCCTTTTTATACAAACTTCAGCTGAAGCCAAAACTCTGCATGCTTCCATCCCACATTTCAGGAGCAGCCAGTTTTAAGATTTAGGATTATGCCTCAGTTACTGGGCTTTCCAGTCCTGTGCTCAGGCAACTAAATTATATTCTTTGGGCTTTGCATAATACTAAGCACATATTTTTCAATAAGAAAGCACCTGTAATACAACCCTACAGGACCTGCAATGTGCTTTGGGGTTCAAATAGCTTTGGTTGCTTTCTATTCCAAGAGACAGAGAGCAATACAAAGAACTAAGTTAAGGAAACACAAAAGGTTTTTTTTCATAGGAAAATGTAACATCCAGACCACACTTTTGAAAGCTTCTGTTTGACTGCTGCCATCATACCTTGTCAGTAAATATGGTGAGAATGAGGCTGGATTGTCCTGCTCTGAAAACATTGGCATGGAACCTCCCATTATCCAGAGGCGGAAATACAGCACGAGGATCACCTTCAAAGAAGAAAAGAAGAACACCTAAGTTAGAAATGCACTACTAAGGAGAGCTAAGGCCTCCAGCAAATGTTTTGTTGTGATAGCTCTCCATGCTGTGCAAAGCCAGTCAGCTCAGCAGTTTAGGCAAAATTCAAGTTTGCCACCTTACCCAGGGTGACAAACCCTTGGCACAGAGCACACTGTGACTTTGTGTGTCCCTCCTCCTGTCTGCACTACTGCCAGCAACTCACACATCTCAGCACCCACCACAAGGGCAGCACTCTCAAGGACAAATCTGTCACTCTGCTGCAGCGTAGGCTGCAGAATTTTGCTGCTGATCTCTACCTAAATGCAGAGGGGAAAATCACAGGTGATGTCTTAAAATTCTTATCATTTATCCACGCTGGCATAGGTGTAAGGACAAGCTCCATCAGTGCTTCTCATGCTGCACAATCCTAATTCCTAGAAGGATTTCTGAAGCTGCCCCTCCTTTACCTTTCTGAAGCTGCCCCTCCTTTACCTTTCTGGTAAGCACTTGTCAAGGGACAAGCAAGGGGACCTGGCTCCTGGAGCAGCACAGGGAGCTGCACACCCAGAACATCCCCATGGAAGTGCTTGTTTTCTCCTCTGCAACGTGTTGAGTCCTGTGTGCAGCACATCAAGCACCAGTTTTTCTTACAACTCTTACCTGCACTGGCATTAACAGCATGTCACTGACAGGGCAGCCCAGTGCCACAGAGTCCCCTGTATTTAGGGCAGGAAATACCTGCAGATGATTACATGGCTGCAAGGGCAACCACTATAAATCAAAAGGTTTGAAGTGGAAACACAGTAATATTCTTGTTTCTGCACAGCTGAATTTTTCTAGAATAATTCCCAAGTCTAACTTTGTATTAAGATCTACCATGAGAGATTTCTGAGTCTTTTGGGATGCCACGATGCATTGCTATTGGTCAAGTCCATTCATACTTACATAGCTTATCACCAAAGCAGCTCTCTTCAAAAAAGGCCTCGCAGTATACAAGAAATTCTGGTTGTTATTTGCAGTCAGGTAGCTGAAATACAAGGAAACAAATGTTTGTTGAAGTACTTTGGAACACTAACTCATTTTTCAAATGGAGAAAAATGTGCGCATTGATTTAACCACCCTAAATACAATAATAATGACATCACTCCAACTCTTGAAAGGTCTTTCCACATAAGTAAAATATTGAGACTAGTTCAAGTAATCCACACTATAATACATTGCAGTTCTGCCATCAAAATCTGGTCCTGGTGTGTTTGTTCGTTTGGTTTTTGTTTGTTTGTTTTTAAATCTTCAATTAACCCCTTAATCCTCAGAAAAATCCCAGGTGTGTCTCAATGAGATTGCTGCCTTCAGACTCCCAGAAGACTAGACAGAGACATGTTTTTAAAAGGTCACCCAAATAGAGCAATTCAATTTTAGACTATGATTAAAATGCAGAAACTCCTTGTTCCCAGCTCTATGCTCAGTCTCTAGAGAGGAGAATAACTATCTAGCAGAACTGATCCTAAGCATTTTTTGGGAGTGTATTCTGCACATTTAAGTTTCATCACAAGCCTGCTGACAAAGTGCTATGATAATTAATTGCACAGAGAGAAACACACACGTGGCATACTGTTGTAGGAATGTTCATAAAACCCTTCCTGTTTCTCAATGAGTGAAGTGAAACTGTATTTGGAGCCAAAACTATGCATTTATTTTAATATAGAATAGAAGCACTTGCCAAAGTCTAAGGAACTTTCTTACTATAACAAACAGTGCCATATCCATGGCATTAATTTCATGATAATTCTGTGTCTGTTGAATCTTACAGATGCTCCATCATTGTAATAAAGCAATAACAAAAAGAAATACAGAAGAGACAACAGGAATATTTTAAGCATATAGTAGGTAAAAAAACCATCGAAAAAATGACAACTTATTTTAAGACGATATAAAGTCAACAAAATAAATTCAGAAGGAAAACCTTTCCTTTACAGGTTCTTCTGTATGACATACAGTCAGTATCAGGATACTCTATTTAAATGATTTACAAAAACTGCAGTTTGTATTGCAACACCTTCAAGCAAGCTACCTTTCCAAGCATGAAATCCTCATATGTTTCTCCTGTGAACATGGAGCATATAAAACACATCTTATTTCCTCTCCAAATTCCTTAAGACAGTCTATCACCTGACTGCTTCCACCCTTCAAGTCTTTGAAAAAACAAGACTGAAGCACTTCCTAATGCAGCCAAGAGTCTATAATACCCAGGGTTTTGTTCAAATTTTCTGAAGTAGGAAGTTTGCAAGCCCGGTCACCATGGCAAGATGAAGAAAAGATTACACTGCAGAAAAAAATCACCAGGGCAAAGCCAGCAAGAAACAGAGGCAGCATTTACCAAGATGAAAGAAATACATCTGGATGCTCTGTACAAAGGAACTGCTCTTCAGAAAGCCTTCCCTAAGTACCATGCCTAAAACTAAGGAACTAAACCACACAGCATAAAGCAAGCCAGACAACTTTCAGTCTTTGGAGTCTACCAACTGTGAAATGTTGACATTTAAGCACCAAACCTGACTCAAATGTCAGACTAGTCTACAAGGGCTGAATGCCTCAAAGTGCAAAGTTTCTGGAGTTCCCACTGATTTCAATCAGGGTGCAGCAAGTACAAGGGAGGTGAAACCAAGCCTTTAGCTTTGTCTCCCCATGAAAGGTCAGGTTGGCCTTCAAGTGCTCGCCACGGCCCAGCTCCAAACCCACCGGAACCAAAGGGAGAGCCTCTCACTGACTTAACAGCATTTGGACCAAACCCCAGGCTTTTGTCCCCTACTGAAACCCTTTATGAAACTCAACCCCCTTGTGATTGGCAGCAGGAAGTGTTTGGTTGCACTTTGTTTACATTTTTATGTGTGGAGAGAGGAGAGCCCTCTATTCATCACACTGCCTGACTCTTCCAGAACCTGTTTTCGCTCGCTTTTACTTTTAACTCTCTGCAACACTTTAGGCAGGAATTTTCCATTACAAATGTTTGCTTTAGGTAGAATTATTCTGGGAAAAGATCAACTAGCACAGTTCAGCTCTTTCTCCAACGTTTCAGTTACAGACAGAGGAGCACTTTTATCAGTGTCAAGAACTCTGCCAACTTCATCCTTGAGAATCAGCATCACCTCACACCAGTGACCCAAAACTTGTGAGGTGGCCATTATCTCAGGCTGTTTGCCCTCCTCCAGAGAAGCCACCTGTGGTTAGGTTGTTCAATTAAAAAGTGAAACTCTTCCATTTTGAGAAAGCTGCTGTCCTGAAGTCTGTCTGGAAACCACAGAAGATAACACGGTTCAATGCTCAGCAAGCCTGCTCTCCACCCACCAGATTGACCTGCAGGAGTGGCATAAAGGACAGGTCACACTCAGTGCCTCAAAGCTTTAGAAGAACCACATGGATTCCCAGAGTACCTTCCTGAGCTACCACTTGTGTCAGGGAAGGTAGCTAGTGAAACATCTCAGTCTGGTGCAGGCGGAAGAACAACATACAGTTTGTGTAATGAAACCAAATGAACTGCAAATGGGACATGGATGAGTGTCCTGGATTGCCAAACAAATTGTATTCTATTTGCCATCTGTATGGCAGCCGTCTTCTGTCAAGTGGGCAGTTTTCCTTATCTCTTCCACAACCACTCCTCCCTCCAGGGAGACATCTAGTGATAACAGGCTATTGAATATCACTGCATGGCTGATAAGAATTACAGCATACCATTGGGAGATGCTCTGCCCAGAGGGTGGAGCCAAGCATTGCTACCCAGATATAATCTGGAGATTCTGGAACACCAGCACGGCTTCTCCACTGGATTTCCAGAGGAGCAGCTGCCTCTTCTTCCACTGGATTTCAGAGGAAGACTACACCCTTTTACAGATCCCCCCTGCTCCAACAGAACCACACCTGACACTCCAGGAGGACTGCAGCCACAATTCCAATTGGACTGCTACCAACACCCTGACCAACAGGGTGTCAGGTTGTGTTCTGACTCTGTCAGTGTTGTTTTAGTTTACTGCATTGTTTATTTTATGCTTTCATTTTCTTCCCTATTAAATAACTATTATTTCCTGCTCCCATATATTTTGCCTGAGAGCCCCTTAATTTAAAATTTATAGCAATTTGGAGGGGGGGGGGTTTACATTCTCCATTTCAGGGGAGGCTCCTGCCTTCCTTAGCAGACACCTGTCTTTCCAAACCAAGACATTGAGCAAGTTTGCTAAACGTCAGTAATACACAGCATGGAAAATGCAGAGCTTTTTACATGTAAAGTTGCAGCAGATTTTTCCACGTAAAATCTCAGCTTGCAAACATATCTGAGGTTACACTGAACTTCACTCAGGCAACTTTAAGATCAGCCAAAGCTCTTAATTTTGTATTTAGCTAGGAGAAGCAAAGAAATCACTATTTTAGGAGTTAAACTGTTTTATACCCCTTTTTAACAGCTGTCTTGTAAAAAGCCATTCACTGGTCACATTTCCACACATTTACCAACCTCTCCAGGCTGCCAAACACCCCTCTGTTCATGGGAACCACTCCCTATGACCTGCTCCACCCCAACCAGCACAATTGTGGTACCCCAAACATGCCAAAATACACACACACATGCATTCACTCCCACATGAGAGTGGGTGTGGGACAGAGTTAGGGAAGGTGTGCTGATGGCAGCACCACACAGCAACATGCTGCCTCCCAAGTATGCGATCATTTCAAGGTGTGGGTCTTTCAGATCTTCCTAAAAAATTATACAATTAGAGGAGAAAATCCAGCTCATCAGGTTCACTAAACAAGTGCAAGAAGAGCCCATTTGGGCAGAGGTTCCACTTCCACTTCATGCCAGCTTTCCCACAAAGCAACCCAGCATGTAATTACCTACTTGCTCTCTTTTAAAAGCCTTTCAGGAATACTTCCCAAAACAACCAGAATCACAACAAACAATAAATCCAAGAAAAGCTTAATAATGCAGGGACTTCTCTTGTGTAGTTCAAGCAGAGGCCAAGACAGATATTTGGCAGTCCCAGCTTCCTGAAAAGCACAGCTCATCCTGGAATCAGTTACATCACCAGGGCACTCCGAGGCTTTATAATTGAAGACAGCAGGGTAGGTGGCCCAGTAAAATTCAATATGGCGCAGTTTATAGGAACATCCACTTTGCTGGTACCAGATGGACGCTGGGTTAATCAAAACAAACTTCTCTAAGAAGCAGGCAGCTTTTTTAATTTGCCTGTGCCATTGGAGGCACCTCGAGCTCACAGAGCAGTGTGAGGCAGCTCCTCAGCTGCTGTTCACTGCCATGGCTCTGGGAGCTGTTGCAGACCACTATTGGAAACAGGTTTATCCCACACTGCAGCTGACTCAGCTCTGGCATAAAATGTGAGCTTGCTCTGGGCTCTCTTTGAAGGTTTTCTCAAGGGAAGCGAATAAACAATTAAGATCTGTGGTGGACTCTCCATCAGGAATGTCTAAAAGACCAATATAAGTTTGCAGCAGAACAAGTGTTGGTATATCAAGAAATTGTTTTGGCCAGGTCACTTCACTCTGAGAGGATCACTGCTCTCATTTATCCTCTGCTTAGGAAACAGATCCACTTCCCACCAACAGCCAGAGTTTTGAACTAGCACTTTCAAACCCCAAATACTACAGGAAGATATTGGAAGGATGAATAAAAAAAGCAAGGCTGTTCTCTTACTCCTAATTCTTGATAACAGTAAAACACCCATAATCAAGAACATTTGTAAACTTAGAAGGGGATATTTTAAGTGCATGTCAAAGCTCTAGGTCATTGATAGATGCACATCTAATCCTAAATCAGCCTGACAGACTCCCCTGCTAAGAATAAGCAAGTTTTACAGGAGCCACATTCTGCCTATAGAGACCACCTTACTTTTCCCATTTAAAAAGGACTTCCTTATCACCTGTTCAGACAGCTGCATCTTTTACTGGAGAAGTATCTTTTCCACCTAGCTCAGCCTATAGTCCTCCATGACGACAGCACTTGAAGAGAAAGTGTATGTGTAA